TTGGGAAAAATACTTTTAAAACCATTTTTTAGGCCAGGCATGGTGACTCATGCCTTTAGTCCCAGCACTCTGGGAGGCAGAGGCAGGTGGATCTCTGTGAGTTCAAGGCCAGCCTAATCTACATAGTGAGTTCTAGGCCAGCCCCACTACAGGGAGACCCTGTATCAGAAAGACCAAAAACCAAAAACAAACAAACAAACAAACAAAAAAACCAAAAAAACACTTCTTAGCCAAGCCCACTGGCATACACATGTAATCCTAGTACTTGGGAGATTGAAGTGGGAGAATCAGGAGTTCATGGTCATCCTCCAATACATAAGACCAGCCTAGGTTACAGGCTTTTTTTGGGCCTTTTTGAGACAGGGTCTTCCTGAGGCCCAGCTGGCCTGGAACTCTCTTTATAGACCAGGCTGGCCTTGAACTCACAGAGACCCACCTGCCTCTGCCTCCCCAGTGCTGGGACTAAAGGCATGTGCCGCCACACCAGGTAGGAGATGGTTTAAAAGCAGAAAGAAATGACAAAAAACACTTCTCTGAGGCTGGGCATGATGCACCATGTCTTTAATGACAGCAATCAGGAGGTAGAGGCAAGTGATCTCTAGGTAGAGGCAGTGAGACTGTCTCAAAACACAAAACAACACTTCTCAAATTTCATATACAGGCAGGTTCTTCTGTAACTGGCTTTTTCCATTTCCCTAGATAAAACAGTGTACGATTCTTTCTTTTCTTTTTTTTGACAACCTCTACCTAGCCTTGGCTGGTCTGGAACTCACTCTGTGGGGAAGACTGGCCTTGAACTCAAGAGATCTGCCTGCCTGTGCCTCCCAAGTGCTCAGATTAAAGGTGCATGCCACTATGCACCATGATTCTGTATCTAGAAAATGTTCAGAAATGGCAGATTTACAGCAACTCAAAATAATTTGTCAGGGTCAAGTGAGGGAAGCCTACCAAAGAGGGATCTTTAAAAAAAAATTTTTTTTATGTGTATGAATGTATTGACTGCATGTGTGTAAGTGCACCCATGTGGTGCAATGCCCTCAGAAGTCAGAAGGAGGCTTCAGATCCCTTGGAACTGGAGAAATGGAGTTACTGTCTCTAGTCCCCCAAAAGAGGGATCTTAAGGGTACAGAAATGTTCTAAAATCAGATGCTTGTAACAGCTACATATTTACTGAAAAACACTGACTTCCACAAATGCATGAGTTATTTACTTATGTGAATTAAACATCTGTAAGACAATTTAAAATTCCTTTGTCAGGCTAGAGAGATGGCTCAGTGGTCAATAGTACTCATTACTCCTGTAGAGGACCTGAGTCCAGCTCCCAGCACCTACACAACAGCTTATAACTATCTGTAACTCCAATTTCAGGGGATTCAACACTCCTCCATGGGCACTACACACATGGTGCATACACATAATGCATGGGGAATGTACATGCACATAAAATAAAATCTATTTTAAAAACTAAAAAAAAAACCCTCCTTTCTCTTAAGATAGGAAGGTAGTTCATGCCTGTAATTCTAGTCCTTAGGCAGTAGAAGGGGGATGAAGAGGAGTTTAAGGCCAGCCTCAACACCTACTGAGTTCAAGGTCAGCCTGGGCTATATGAGTGTGTGTGTGTGTGTGTGTGTGTGTGTGTGTGTGTATGTATGTATATATACACACACATATGTATATATGTGTATACATACACATACATATACACAGGGCCAGGTGTAGTTGCACATGCCTTTAACCCAGAACTCTGGAGGCAAAGGCAGGCAGAGCTCTTGAGTTCAAGGCCAGCCTGGTCTACATGCCAAGTTCCAAGCCAGACAGGGACACACAGTGAGACCTTATCTCAAAAACACCAGCAAATGTTTCTTCTTTCACTTACCTAAGGTCTGGGCTATCTGAGCTGGTGGAAAAAGGACTTGAAGACAGCGATTCAAATAAGGAACGAGGTCTTCCAGGAAGGCAGTGCAGAACTGGACAAAGAGCTCCTGTTCTCCACTGCTGAAGGCAGCCTCTTCCGCACGATGGAAGGCCAGGATTATTTTGGTTAGCTACAAGACAAGAATGCCAGGTCACCAGGCCATCAACATAGTTTACAGCATGTAAAACAGCACAAATGTGCAGTCCTTGTCTTCATGAAGAAAGTCATTCCAAACAGTACATTTCAAAGAGTACATTTCACTGCTATCTTGTTCAAACTCAGAACTGTAGTCAATAGTTAGAATTTTGTTGCTTCATTGGTTTATGACCCAATCTGCTTTGTGCTGGCACAGTTTTGTTTTTTTCCCCGCGGTTTTAAATTTCATGTGTATGAGTATTTTGCCCACATGTTTGTAAGCACAGCACATGCATGCAAACCTGCAGAGGCCAGAAGAGGGCATCAGACCCCTGGAGTGACAGATGGTTGTTAGCCAATACATGGGTGCTGGCAACAGAACCCCTGGGTCCTCTACAAGAGGAATCATTTCTTCAGCCTATACTAACATAGTTTTGAGTTCTAGTGGAGGAGTGTCATGGAATTATAGAGGTTGCTCTCCTGAGAGCCTTCAAAAAGAAACAACCATGTTGTGAGCTTCTTGTGGCAGCGGAGGTCCTTAGGAGCAGAGGACCCCAGTTCTGCAACTTCTCCAATGGCAGGGAATGAAAGCTATCAACTGGAATGAGCTTGTGAAGCTCCAGATTACATGAAGGCCTAACTGACACCTTGAACACAACCCTATGAGACCCTGAGCAGAGAACCCAAGGACAATGTACCTGGATTCCTGGCCCATGGAAGCTGGATGATAACTACTGTTTTAAGCTGCTAAGTTTGTGGGAATTCATTATCAAGCAATAGAAACCAACTTATTGCTGACTGATTACCACAGGTGACCTACTTCATAGATCATTCTAGGATCATCCCCTTAAAGGGGTAATGTTAATTGAGTTGTTCAACTACAAAAACCTTTCAGGTCACACTAAGTTCTCCAAGTCAGCAGGCATGATGGTCATATGGTCTGGCTTATTACAAAGCTCTGGCTGCTGTTACTGAAGACACCCGGGGGTAGTAGAATGCTACCCACCTTGGTGAGGGCAGCCTCCAAAGTCCCAGTCACATCCTGCGCCAGGGCCACGGGGCAGCAGAGGCGCAGGTCATTGAAGGCAACCAAAATATTGTTGAGGAAGCAGGCAAGGGGTGGGAAGTCTAAAAGCACCATCGGTGGCTGAAGTGTTCCTGGCTGAGTAGCTGGCACAGCAGCAGGCATGTGACTGCTGCCCAGGATGGCTGAGGTTGAGATGAGGGTGTAGCAGGTCATCTCATCCTGGAATTTTTCCACTGCTTCCTGAACTGCTTTCTGGAAAGTGTTGATGGCCACCCTCTGGAACACAGGAGCCAACTGGCCCCGGAAATCAGCCCCCACCCGGCTGAAGGACAGCCCAAAGTACATACACTGGCCCAGCAGAGAGTCTAGGCGGCCACCTATCCCCCGGTAAAGGTCAGTCTCTAGCACTTGCAGGAACTGTGAGACTTTCTGCAGCACCCAGCCATGGAAGATGGCTCCCTCATTCACAGTGTGCTTGCCCATGGCAGGTGGCAGCAGGGGGTCCTCATCGGAGAAGATGGCACGGTATTGGGTGATGATATCAAAGAGGTGGACCCGGCAGGCCTCAATGGTTTTTGTGATATGGAAATAAGGATCATCATTAGGAATGGAAGTCAAGATAGAGCGGAGCCAAGCATCTCGGGCCTGAAGAAACTTCACCCTCAGCTCAGCCTCAGTGAAGACATCCATGCGCCGAAGGTAGCCAATGACACGTAGGCAAGCTGGGAGCTGGATGTTGGTCCTCAGTTGCTGGATCAGCTGGCTCAGCATCAGCTGCATGGACTGACGCACTTCATTAACAATGCTCTGACAATACAGACAGTGAGTCAAAACACACTGGGAAAAATACTCTGGAATGCATTCTGCTAACCTGAGTATTGGAGACCAACATTCCTATAGCTTTCCTGACACATAAGTGGATTTCTAAAGCTGACACCTGTAGGTTACCAACAAAGATCTGTTTGCATAACTATCTTGCTTAAAATCCCCCTAGGTTTTCCCATTGTAGTCAGTGACTTTCAACTAGTCACCCTGATCTCCAGGCCCTGCCCCATTATCCAGCTTCACCTGCTCCCTAATGCTCTACCATTGCTCCTTGCAGTCCAGTAACAATGGCTGCTTTTAGATTCCTGACACTTTCTTCCCACCTTACCCTGATTTACCCCTCCTACTTTCCTATTTGCTGTCTGCAGAGTGTCATGTACTGGTTCCTTCTCATCTAGGTTTCACCTGGAGACCTGCCTCTCAGGAAACACTCTTCCCAGTTACTCTACCCCAAACAGCTCTTACTATCCCACTACTCTATTCACTGGGGTTTTTGTTTGGTTGGGGTTTTTTTTTTTTTTTGTCTTTTTGAGACATGCTCTCCCTATAGCCCCAGCTGACCTGGAACTCACTATGTAGACCAGGCTAGCCCTGAACTCAGAGATCTACCTGCCTCTGCTTCCCAAGTGCTGGGATTAAAAGTCCACCACCATACCCTGCTTCCCCTGCGCCCCCCCCCATACAAAGTCTCATGTGGCTGAAAGAAGCTGGACTCAATTATGTAGCTGAGGATGGCCTTGAACTTCTGACTGATCCTATCTCCACCTCCAAGTGCTGAGATCACAGGCATATCCCACACACCTAGCTTTCTCTGGCTTATTGTCTTCAGACACTTAACCACTAACTGAAATGTTATTTCTCAATTATCAGACATCCACTAAAGTGTAAACTTCTTGAGAGCCGTGGCCTTGACTGCTTTGTTTGAATAGTATTCCCGGATCAGTGTCTGATACATGATTAATGTGAACCTTTGAGTAAATGGGTCAATGAATGAGCAGATGTCTTCTGTTCAGGCCCTGTTGGCTTGGCAGAAACTGAGGTGAAACCTGCCAAGGTTTCTCTCTAAAGGTTTAGTCACAACCATAGAATTAATGATTACAAGAACATCAGCATGAGGGCTCTCTGGGCAAGTTGGTTACCTGGATGACAGGGATGGATGAGTATTTCCTTTCCAGTCGGCGTACATAGGCTGCAAGCTCCAGGGCCTCTTCATAATAGCTGTTCCGGACACAAGTGTCCATAAGCTGGGGAATCTCCAAAATCTCCAGGATTTCTGTGTGCCGGTTTAGGGTCAGGGTGTTCATCTGGCGGTTGGAGCTGATCTCCTCAGCTTCCTTCACAAAGTTCCTAAAACCAATCAGGAAAACAAAGGTCCCTCACTGTTCTGCACTGCAGGTAGTTACCAACACTTATTGAGCACTGGGCTGGCTTCCCTAGTTTATTTAATCCTCATACCAAACCTGTAATGTAAGTTCTATTACACTTGGAGGAAACTTTTAATCCAAGACAGTTAAGCAACTTGTCCAAGATCACACCATCAATAAATGTTGGGTTTTTTTCTTTCTTTTGAAACAGGTCTTCCTGTAGCCCCAGCTGACAGGGAACTCACTATGTAGACCAGACTGGAATTGAATTCACAGAGATTCACCTGCCTCTGCCTCCCAAGTGCAGGGATTCAAGGCACACATCACCACACCCAGCTTGATAAATGGTTTCTATGGGGCTGGCGAGATAGCAGGTTGGCAGGTAAAGATATAAGCTCTCATGGCATTTACATTCTGGTATGTGTCTGATAATTGACAAGGAATATTTCAGATAGTGGTAAATGTGTAAGTGATAGTTCAGCAGATAGACTGTCAGTGTTGCTAACAAGGCTGCTTACCTGGGTTGATCCTGAATCCTACCTGGTGAAGGAGAGGACTGACTCCTGCAAGTTGTCCTTTGACTGCCACATGTACACACCTTCCCTTAACAAATAACTGTTATTTAAGAAATGGCTCATAAATCTGAATCAATTACACAGACACATTTTGGATTGACTTGCTGTAGGTCTCATAAAAAGGGACTAAGTTGTTTGTGGGAAGGTACTTGGCCACTCTGAGCTGTTTCCTCATTGGCCAAATAGCAAGAGGACTCACTTCATAAAGGTGTGAGTGCTAGATAAGATAACCTGTGTATTTAATGGGGACCGAGGCAGTGTGTGCCAGAAAATGTGCACACATGTACTCCCAGCACTTGAGAGACTGAGTCACTCTCTGTGAGTTCCAAGCCAGCCTGGTCTACATAGTGAGTTCCAGGCCGATTAGGGCTACATAGTGAGACCTCTCCAAAAGAAAACCACCACCAGAGTAAAATAGCCCCTTCATAACAGATACTCAGTGGTTAAATGTACTTACTGCTCTTACAGAGGACCTGGGTTCGGTTCCCAGCACTCATATGGCTGCTAATACCCTTCCTTTACTCCAGTTCCAGGGGATCCAACATTTGCCTTCTTCTGGCCCCCACAGCCATCAATCAGGCAAAACTCATACACATAAAATCTTTTTTTTTTCTTCCTTTCTGAGACAGGATCTCCCTGTAGCCCCAGCTGTCCTGGAACTCACTATGGAGACCAGGCTGGCCTTGAACTCACAGAGATCTGCCTGCCTCTGCCTCCCGAGTGCTGGGACTAAAGGCATGTGCTACCACGCCCAGCTACATAAAATCTTTTTAAAAACTTAGTAAAGCTACTATTTTCCTAACAGAGAACTACCCAGTAGACAAGCTACAAGCCTGCCCTTAGGCACTCAGGTTCTGCTCTCTATGCTGCTGTGTAACCTCACTTCTCACTATTCTGTCTCCATTTCTTCTCTATAGTAATACCGGAAGCTAGTTCTGTGAAGTTTGCTATCTTTTGGAGGGACTGGAGAGTTCAAAAGCTGCTGTCAGATACTCAAAGAAAAATTAAATCTGATACAGGGAGACCCTGTCTCAAAAAGACCAAGAAAAAAAATTAAAATTTGAGACATGTAAGGCTGGACTAAGGCTATTAGACTGAGGAGATAGAAAGGTAGTACGTCTCAAAAAGGAATGCTTTTTGATAGCCTACGATACCCCAAATAGGATTTCCTTATCAGCTTCCTTTCAGTGGAAGTTTTGGAGCAGATGGCCTTCAGCCCAAACTGCTGAAATATCCATAATTAGAAATATGCCCATATACTAAGCTGACATTTATAGTATTAACTATGACAGATCCAATGATAAATGCTTTATGTGGATTTTTGTCCATTTGTTTTGAGACTGGGTCTCGTGTCACCCAGGCTGGCCTGGGACTCAGTACTGGTACTCGGTACTTAGTCTAGGGCTGTGACCCTGACTGAGGCCAGCCGCACCTGCAGCTCTGCTGAAAGCTGGGCAAGCGGTCGAGTAGATGACCAAGGGACGTCTCCACGTCGCCAAAGAGACGGTGGATGCGCTCGGTGCACTCGGCGCCGCGGATGAACGTCTTGTAATTGGCGAAGGCCAGGTCTCGCGTCTGCTGCAGCAGCTGGGCCCGCTCTTCCGCCAAGCGCTCGGGCTCGCGTCGCAGCCGGTCCAGCCCCGAGCCGCTCAGCTCCCGGAGATAGCGGCCCACATCGGGCCGCTCGCGCCACTGGGCCTCAGGGAAGCGGTCCCGGAACAGCGACGCCAGCAGCCCTTCATCTTCCACCTCCCCAAGCGCCGCCGCCGTAGCTGTGGCCGTGGCTGAGGCCGCGACAGTGACCCCACCCGCCATCTTCCTCGCAGCAGCGTCACCTCCCCTCCAGACCCGCGACGGCGCTGGCTACACGCCTGGGACCGGAAGCAGCGGGGACTCACTTCCTGTCTCTATGGTTTCTCACAGAGGCCAGCTTTCTTTCCCCGGAAGTCCATTGAGGTAGGTGGCGCTAGCCCGAGCAACAAAATCGGACTAGAGAGGCAAGCTTCTGTGGTTGCCAGGGAGCGGGGTGCGGCCAACTTCCGTTTCCGGCTGCCTGGCCACGAGGATCCGGCAAGCCCAGCCAGCGGGAAAATGCGGCCTTTGACTGAAGAGGAGACCCGTGTCATGTTTGAGAAGATCGCGAAATAGTAGGGGCGGGGCGGCGAGGTGGCGGGCGCGGGGGCGTGCGGGGAGCGCGGGGCACGGGCGGGCCCGCGGGACGCGGCCTCCATTCTTCTCTTTACCCTCAGCATCGGGGAGAATCTCCAGCTGCTGGTGGACAGGCCGGACGGCACTTACTGCTTCCGGCTGCACAACGACCGGGTGTACTATGTGAGGTGAGGTGCGGTGAGGTGAGGTCGAGGGGCGGTGGCCCTGGCTGGAGGCCTGCGACCCCTCAGTCACTTTCACCCGAAACCTCCTTCCCTCCGTCCACCCTGCAGTGAGATGATCCTGAAGCTGGCCGCCAACATCTCCGGGGATAAGCTCGTGTCGCTGGGGACGTGTTTTGGAAAATTCACTAAGACCCACAAGTTCCGGTTGCATATTACAGCTCTAGATTTCCTTGCTCCCTATGCCAAGGTTTGTCGGGGAGGTTTTCATTTTGCCACCGGGGATGAAGTCAGGAATGAGGGCCAGATTAGATCTAAGGTTCTTTTCCATAGAGTGTCTGACAGAGCCTTCACAAGATGTTTGCAGGTCTTGGTGCTTGGGCGTGCAGGAGATCACAAAGCAGATGTAAGCGGCTGTGATGAGAATGATCCCGGGGGTCCTTTAAAAAGCATTGCGTGTGGAGTTGAGGAAAGAACTTAATGACAGTGTTGATCAGGGAACAAGCAGCTTAAAGGAAACATGTTTCCCCACCTCCCCTTAAACATAGAACCAGCAGCTAATTTACCTACAGGGATATAACTAGCTTGCTTTTTTTCCCCCCAAAGATTTATTTTTAATTATGTGTTTGTATGTGGGTATGTGCATGTGAATGCAGATCCCCACAGAGACAAGGGATCAGGCTCTCCTGGAGCAGGAGTTACAGGTGGTTGTGGGCCCCCCTCACCCACATTGGTGCTGGAAACTACGCTCAGGTTCTCTGCAAGAGCAATGTCCACTCTTATCTGCTGAGCCACCTCTCCAGTCCATAACGAGTGTTTTTTTTGTTTCTTGGATTTTGGTTTTCTTGCAGTATAAAGTGTGGATAAAGCCTGGAGCAGAGCAGTCGTTCCTGTATGGAAACCATGTGTTGAAATCTGGTCTGGGTCGAATCACTGAAAACACTTCTCAGTATCAGGGTGTTGTGGTTTACTCCATGTCAGACATTCCTTTGGTGAGTAGAGATGCTACAAAACCTCAGTCCTTTTCAAGAAGCATTTATTTTCAGCCTGTGTACATCAGAGACTTCTCGGCACGCTTTGAAAATATTTTTCTTTTAAATATTTTTATATATGTATTTGCACGTGCTTGTGGTTGCCTGCTGAGCCAGAAGAGGGTGTTGTTGGTCCTGTCCCCCCCCCCCCAGCTGAAGTTACAGTTAGGTACTGCCTAACATGGGTGCTGGGACCCAAGCTCTGTCTTCTGGGAGAGCAGCAAGTGCTCTTAACCACTGACCCACCTCTCCATTTCCTTCAGCACTCTTTGAATTTATCAAAGTTACTGTTTTTCTCAGCCTATAACGTAGGCTTCTTGAATAACTGAATGACCTACTGTCTGCTCTTTTGAATCTCAGGGTTTTGGGGTAGCAGCAAAGTCTACACAAGAATGCAGGAAAGTAGACCCCATGGCAATAGTGGTGTTTCATCAAGCAGACATTGGAGAATACGTACGGCACGAAGAGACACTGACTTAAAAATGAAGTCATTGCAAAGACTTACGGCTGCATGGAAGGGCCTGGCTTTGTTTCCTGTGTGTGCTGATGTCATGTTGAATTTGGACAACACTGCAAACTTCTATATGGCCTTCACTGATATATGCAAGCTGGATTCTCACTATACAGAAACTGCTTGAGTAGGGGGGTTTCATGCCCTCCATAGGCAAAGGCAGGAAGATCACCTGTGTAAGGTCAACTTGGGCTACATGACAAGTTCCAGTCCAGCCTGGGTACTGAGACCCTGTCTCAAAAATCCAAAAGGGAAAAAAGAGAGTTATAAGTCTTTGTGTGACTAAATATTTTTTATTCTATATCTAAATCATTTTTATGTTTGAATCAGAGGACTGTTCTGAGTAATAGGTTCAAATTGTTGAACTGAGGACAAGAATTTTTTTGTTATCTGTGATAGCACTTTGTTTTCCAAACTCATTATAAGAACACAATGGAGTTTCTCTGATTTGTTAATATCATGGAAGGTAGACATTGCTGTTATAAGAATAGTAGGCCCAGGCTGGGCATGGTGGTGCATGCCTTTACTCCCAGCACTTAGGAGGCAGAGATTGAGGTCAGCCTAGTCTACATAGCATGTTCCAGGTCATCTGTGGCTACCCTGTCTCAAAAAAAAGGGGGGAAAAAAGTAGGCCTTGCTTGGGATTTTACAGTGAAATTTAGCTAAAATAATAGTTGCAACTTTATAGTATATAGTTGCACTATATAATAATAATTGCATAATATTAATAGTTACACTATTATATGTAAAAAACAATGTTCTCTATACATTAAGAAAGACTTGGATGGATTTGACCTCAGCTGTGTGGCCTCACATGAGACGTTTGCTTCATTTTCTTTCTTTTTAAAAAACCCACAAAACTTTAAAGACAGCTTTAAAAATCCCAGCACTCGGGAGTCAGAGGCAGGTGGATCTCTGTGAGTTCAAGGCCAGCTGGGGCTACAGGGAGACTCTGTCTCAAAAAAGACCAAATAAAAGACAGCTTTAATTATCAACCTAAGAATGGGTTTAGAATTAGAAGTTAAGATTATGAAGCATCTAGCACAGTGTCTAACAATAAGTGTTAGATAAATGCTAATCAAAAAATTTGTTTTTTGAGACAAGGTCTCCTGTAGCCCCAGCTGGCCTGGAATTCACTATGTAGACCATACTGGCCTCAGCTCACAGAGATCCACCAGTGTCTGCCTCCCAAGCGCTGAGATTAAAAGTGTGTGCCTCCATGCCCAGCCCTGAAAATATTTAAAAATTTAGTTTGTGTGCACACTGAGGCCAGGAAGGTGTTGGATTCCTTTCAGTTGGAGTTACAGGGAGTTGTGAGCTTCCAGATGTTAGTTCTGGGAGCTGAAATCAGGTCTTCTGGAAGAGCAGGAAGTGTTCTTAATTGCTGAGCCATCTCTAGCCCACACTGAAATATTGTTGTGTTACATATTTTTGTTATTAAACAGTCTGAAGAGTGTAATTTGACTATGGGTTTTTTTCCCCTTGGATGGATTGGTCCTAGGCTGAAATTTTTTAATTTCCTTTTTTTGTATGTGTTTGATATATGTGCCGCAGTTCATGTGCAGGTGGAGGTCAGAAGACAACTTTAGGAAGTCGGTTTTCACAGTGGGTTCCAGGAGTTGAACGGAAGTCATTAAGCCTGCATGGCAAGTGATTCTACCCACTGAGCTATCTTGGTTACCCATGAAAAAAATGTTTTTTCATCACTTTGATTTCATAAAACATTTGTTTCATAGGCCTTTATTTATTTGACTGGACTAGGCAAAAAGTACTAACCATAGGCCCTGAAATAATTTAGCTTTCTTACAGCCAGCTATGGTAGCACAGGCTAGGAAGATTCTGAGCTCAACAACAGTCTGGACTACATAGCAAAACTCTGTCTCAATTTAACTCATTCATCCTTCCCATATCTCAAAATTATTTTTAGAATTACTAATTTTTTTGGTCTTTTTTATGAGATAGGGTCTCCTTGTAGCTCTAGCTGGCCTGAAACTCCCTCCGTAGACCAGGCTGACCTTGATTTCATAGAGATCCCCCTGCCTCTGCCTCTGTTGGGATTAGAGGTATGTGCCACCATCCCTGGCCTAAAACATTCTTTATAAAGATGCTTCACAGCCACACATTTTGATGAAAACTGCCTGATTTAAACAGAACGATATCTTAAAATACTATTGGTTATTTTAGTTCCAAAGATGACATCTTGTTTTGCTTTTTTTTTTTTGAGACAGGGTATCACACTATACCTAAGCTAACCTGAAACACTTATGTAGCCCAGGCTGGTTTCTAGCTTGAGGTGATCCCCCACTTTAGCCTTTCAAGTGACAGCTTCCAAAGAGGGCATCTCTAAAAGTAAAATACTTTGAACTACAAAAGGGCACTCGCACTGGGGAGAGATGGCTCAGTGGGTAAGGATACTTACTGCCAAGCTTGATGACAAGTTTAAATCTCTGGCATCCAAACTACACGAGGAGGGAACTGAGTCCTGTAAGTTGTCCTCTGGCTTCCGCATGCACACAATTTTTTAAAGGAACTCTACCAAAATTTTACTTTGTCCCTATTTTCAACTCTTCTTTCAGGGTTTTCTAATTTGTTTTGAGACACTGCCTCATAAAACCCACTTAGTCCCTGCATTTAATACATATTTTAGAATAACCAGCCTCAGAAATTCTTATATTTTTGGTATTACCATTCTGCCTTTATTGATGAGCACAATAGACAAAAGCTTTTAAGTTGATTTTTCTCCAGGTAACAAAGCTGGTTTGGGCAAAGCTTTGACAAAGTCGATTGTCAGCTCAGCATCTTGGTTTCTTGGTGTCAGTGGTGTTTGGAACATTGAATAGACGCTTCAGGAAATACAGCTGCAGGATCCCAGAAAGAACAATAACAAGGCTCTGAGCCGTGGACCACCAGTTCACATAGCTGTAGTTGGACTGGAGGAGGAAAAAGTCAGCCACTTTCCTCATCCTGGCGAAGTTGTAAAAGCGCCACATGTGGAACACATTGTTCTGTACCTTCCTTGTGCTCTCCTGTGGGGAGGAAGATAAAAATGGTGCCTGTCTGCACCTGGAAGTCAGTTTATTTGTAACCACTAAACCAGGCGTGGTGGCGCACACCTTTATGTAGTTCCAGACCAGCTGGGGCTACAGGTAGACTCTGTCTTAAAAGACCAAAAACAACAACAACAAAAAAACAAACAGGCAGTGAGCTTTTGTATACCAAGGAGACAAAGTGATGGGAGGGACTGCTGGAGAAATGGCTCACTGACTGTTCTTCCAGAGGACCCAGGTTTGATTCCCAGCACCGACATGGCAGCTAACAACTGTCCATGACTCCAGTTCCAGGGAATCTGACAACTTTTGACTTCTGTGGGTATTGCACAACACAGGTACACTTAGATACATACAGGCAATATACTCAAAATATAAATAAGGCCTGGTGTGGTGGTGCATACCTTTAATCCCAACACTGGGGAGGCAGAGGCAGGTGGATCTCTGAGTTCAAGGCCAGCCTGATCTACATAGTTCCAGGCCAGCTGGGGCTACAGGAAGACCCTGTCTCAAAAAGACCAATAAATAAGACAAAAACAAGGTCACTGTGTAAAGCCACTTGCTGCCCTGCTGAGCCTGAAGGCCTAAGTCTGATCCCTGGGACCCATAAGGGTGGAGGGAAAGAACCAATCCCTGCAGGTTGTCCTGTGACCACACATACCCATGCTATGTGAAAGAAGCCGTCTTGAAGCCACATGCATGATTCATTTATATGAACTGTGTGGAACAGGAAAGTCTATAGAAATAGAATAGTGATTCTGGAGTTGGGAGGTTCTAGGGGGACAGGGTCAGTCACTAATGTGTACAGAATTTCTTTTTGTTTTGCATTAGGTGCTGGGGGTGGCTGCACAACCTTGTGAATGTAAAAACAGGCAGCAGGGCAGATTTGGCCTATTGGCCATAGTTTGCCAAGCTGGTAGTACAGAACAGGAAGAATCTGCAGAGCTCCAAATCATGAAAATGTACTAGAGGATGCAGATCCCCTTGGCTATTTGCTTTCTACCCATTTGAGCCCTCATTCAAAAGACAGTCCCCCACAAACACTAATCTTCCCATTACCTCAATTGCATCCAGAGTGTCATTCATTTGTCTCCTTTGCTTCTCTTTGTGGTCCATCTCAGGCCCCTCATAGAAGACTCCAAAGTTGAGGTACACTTGTACAGTGCTGAAGCGATTCTGCTTATTTTTCAGACAAAGCTGGTAGAAACCTTCAGGAATTCCCAGATCATTACTAAGTCTGCTTTCCTACCCTGCCAGAAGGGTCCCCCACGGATAGCTGTTTGCCTGTTTGTTTATTTATTGGTTCTTTTTCACATGGTTTCTCCGTAGCCCCAGCTGGCAGAGATCCGCCTGCCTCTGCCTCCCAAGTGCTGGGACTACAGGCATGCACCACCACATCTGGCTATTTATTTATTTATTTTTTGGTTGTAGCCCCAGCTGTCCTGTCCTGGAACTCACTATGTAGACCAGGCTGGCCTTGAACTCACAGAGATCTGCCTCCTGAGTGCTGGGATTAAAGGGGTGTGCCACCACGCCCAGCCTCTGGCTATTTATTTTTTAAATATTATTTTTATTTTATGTGTATGAATGTTATGCCTGCATGTAGGTAAGTGCACCCATGTCGTGCAATGCCCGCGGAGGACAGAAGAGGCTGTCGGATTCCCTGGAACTGGAGTTTTGGACAGTTAGCTGCCATGTGGGTGCTGGGATTCGACCCCAGGTCTTCTGCAAGAACAGTCTGTTCTTTCCAGCCCCTATTCCCTAGTTTTAAAATTGCTACTATAACACCTTTTTATCTGGAAAGTGATACAGGAATGTTTTTGACACAGAGGACACAAATTACTTGCAACTTAGTGATAGTTAATAGTTACATTTTGCTTATACTATGTAGAAAAAATTTTTCTTTTTCAACATGTAATTCCCCTCTGCTTTTTTTGTTGTTTTGTGTGTGTGTGTGAGAGAGAGAGAGAGAGAGAGAGACAGAGAGAGACAGAAAGAGACAGAGACAGAGACAGAGAGACAGGGTCTCACTATGCAGCCCTGGCTAGCTTGGAACTTGCAGCGTAGATTAGGCTGGCCTCAGACTCACAGAGATGTGCCTGCCTCTGCCTTCTGAGTACTAGAATTTGCAGACTGTGCCAGCACAGGCAGCTATGAAGTTGAAAGTATAGTGTTTGCCTTTTCCTTGTATACTATAACTAGGGATGATACCTTGAGCCTGAAACTAGGAAAAACTGATGCATTATGAATAAAACTGTCCTTACAGAAGTGATTCCTTACAAGGTGTTCTGCTAGGTGCCAGGTGACCAAAAGTTTGGAGTTTCTTTTCTTCTAATTAAAAAAATTACATTTATTCACTTATGTGTGTACATGGGTGGGAGTGCCATGAGCATGTGTGGGGTCAGAGGACAAGCAGTGGGAGTAGGTCTTCTCCCTCTACCAGGTAGGTCCCATAGGATCTGATGCCCTCTTCTGGCTTCTATGGGCATTGCACTCACTGGTGCTCTTACAAACATGCAGGCAAAAGCACTCATACACATAAAATATCTAATTTTTTAAAAAAGAGCCAGCCAGGTATGGTGGCACACCTCTTTAATCCCAGCACTCAGAAGGTAGAAGCAGGTAGATCTCTGTGGGGCCGAGGCTAGCCTGTTCTCCATAGTGAGTTGTTACAGAGTGTGGGCAGCTCACATAGTCATGTATTTCCTTTCCTAAATCTGCTTTTAGTAACTGGCTGAAGTATTCTGCTCTTGGGAAGAAATGCTACTCTGTGAAAAATGTACTAGATAGAATTGTTTTGACACAGGGTCTCACATAGCCCAGGCTGGCCTTGAACTTGCTGAGCTACATTAATTCAAATTCTGAATTACAAATTGTCTGTTTTAGTCACTTTGCCAGAATCTGATCAATTGGAAATAATGAGGTAAAATGGAATGTCTGGACCTTGGGTTTGCAATGACCACCTTGCCACCCTATCCCTGAACTGCCACTTGATGCTCAGTGGCCTCCAGAAACACTGATTTTGGTGTTTGTTGAAGGCCCGGTTTTCTTCCTAGTTTTACCATCTCTGTTTACTTGTTTCTTCAATTTCAAAGAAACTTACAATGATTATAACAGCAGTGAGAATAATTACAGACCTGTCTCTTGTGCAGCAAAGTTAATCTGGCCCCGAACATCCTGGGAAGTGTCAATGAGGAATCCCTGTGGATTATATGCGGTGGCAGCAACATGGCGGTCATGTGACATCCCCAGTATCCGCTGAACCTGTGAGTACGGTTAGAGAACAGGTCCTACTGCATCTCTAAGAAGCCAGCCAGGTGGTGAGATTGATACCTCAGCACAGTCAGCAGCACAGCTTCTTAGTTTGATGGTCCCAACCACCCAACCTCCTTCTGGAACTTCAGAACTTAGGCTGCTTTCTAACTGTCAGGGTGATGGTGTTGTGCGGGAGTCACATGGATATGTCAGTCACAGCCCCAAACGCTAACAGCTTCCTTGCTGAGGAAGAAGCCCTCTCCTGCCATACAGATGCTGCGGATCAGATGACATGCACACTCAGCCTGTGGGGCTCCTGGCTGAGGATGGGTTGTTGAACACTCTAGTGCTGTCCCAGATTTGGGTGTTTGCTTCTTGGCAGTCCATTTCCCACAGCAAGCAAGCACTGCATGGACAGTGGTCTCCAAGCTGGATCTCAATAAGCTCAAGCCACAGTGAGCTGAATAGTAGTTACTGTTGTAATACAAATACACAGATCAGAAAGAGCTCTGATAAGTCAATATACAGTAAATTTTAAGTTACAGTGGAGTAGAATAAGATCAATATTACTATGTAAACCAAAATTGGAAAAATTATAGCTAGGTGTGGTAACACACACCTATAATCCCAGAACTTTGGGAGACAGAAGTAAAGTTTGAGGCCAGCCAGGGCTACATAGCAAGACCCTGTCTCATAAAAGTAAAAATTAGGGGCTGGAGAGATAGCTCAGTGATTAAGAGCACTGGCTACTCTTGCAGAAGACCTGGGTTCATGTCCCAGTACCCACCATCCATAAACTAACTCCAGTTCCAGGGGATCTCACACCCTCTTTTGACCTCTTGAGGGCATTGTACAACACAGGTGCACCTACCTACATGCGCCTGATCTACATAGTGAGTTCCAGGACAGCTGAGCTACAGGAGACCCTGTCTCAAAAAGCTAAAAAAAAAAAAAAAAAAAAAAAAAAGGTAAAAAGTAGGGGTTTAAGAGATGGCTTAGCAGTTAAGAGCACTTGCTGCTCTTGTGGAGGACCCAGGTTTGGTTCCCAGCACCCACATGGGTATTGTAACTCCAGTTCCAAGGGAATCTGATACCTTCTTCTGGCCTCCATGGGCATTGCACATACATAGCATACATACATGCAGGCAGAACACTCATATTCATAAAAATAAATTGAAGATCTGTGTGATGGTACACATCTTTAATTCCAGGACTTGGGAGGCAGAGGCAGGCAGAGTCCAGCCTGGTTTAAAAAGTGAGTTTCAGGCCAGCCAGGGCTGTATAGTGAGACCATCTCAAAAAAACAAAAATAAAAAAATAAAAAGTAAAAATTTTAAAAATTAGAAAGTTAAGGTGTATTTTTGGGTGTGTCTTTTTGAGACAGGGTCTTCCTGTAGCCCCAGCTGGCCTGGAACTCACTATGTAGACCAGGCTGGCCTTGAACACACAGAGATCCACCTGCCTCTGCCTCCCTAGTGCTGGGATTAAAGGCGTGCGCCACCAGAGCTGGCTAAATTAACAGGTTTTTAAATAAGAACAAAGGAGGACTGGGGATGTAGCTCAATTGGTAGAGTGCTTGCCTAGCATGCACAAAGCCCTGGGTTTGAGCCCCATCATCACATGAAGTAGGGCCTCCTGGACTATACCTGTAATCTCAGTACTGGGGAGGCTGAGGCAGGAGGGTAAATTCACAGTCATCCTTGGCTGTATTTTGAGTTTGAGATCAGCCCCTTAGCCTGTATGAGACCCTGTCTCCTCTACCCCCCTCCCCCCAACAAACAGAGGAGTATCTTCTAACTTCAGTATTAAGCTCAGCATCCTTGGGTGGTGCTGGCTACTCCCTGGGTATAAGTACTTGACTATGTACCATCCTAAAAGAATTAGGATTGTCTGAATACATAGAGAAGCTTTGTTACTTGCCAGGATTAGCAGACAGGAAAGCAAATGTTGTCCCCAACCTGGATAACTAACTTCATTTGAAAGCCCCAAAGTTCATTTGACTTTCTCATTCAACTTTGTGTTGTATACATATTGTTTTAATATTTCAGTAGTCTGTCACCCCCAAATCAAAATAAAGATTACCCCCCTGAAGAAGCACCCTCTTTTATCACTTGGCTTTGAACACACTTCCTGAGAGGCCATGCCATATGCTTTAGCTCCCGTTGGTAGTTATTCATCTAACTCCCACTCAGACATGCCCTCACTGCAGGCCCACCTGAGTAGCAGGTGGTAACACCAGCATAACCAGACCTTGGTTTCCTCTAAAACCTGACTTTATGAAAGGTATGGCCAGAGGCCTCCACGCACCTCATAGCTGAAGTAGAAGAATCCGGTTTGGTAGGCAAATTGCCAGAAGCATTCGGTGTCTCCTGGACGGACCATGATGGCAAAATCATGGCGATCAGCTCCATGGAAGAGTGGTTGGTCCCCAGAGCCTCTTAGGGGCTCCATCTTCTGGCTCCTAGCAGAAGACACTAGACTCAGAACCACCAGCCCAGCCCCAAGGAGCAAAGAGAACATGTTTTCTGTACGCTCCTCTGCAGGTGAGCTGCTTATAGCCCTGTGGAACAGACAAGCACTGGCTAATCATTAACTTCACAAGTCATATTTAGGCCAATTCCAGGGCCATGCATGGATGTTCCATGATTAAAATGGCACAAGACACCCATGTTTGGTTTGGTTTTTGCTTTCACCTCAAGTAAGTGGCTTACCACTTCTACTTCATGGGTGCTGGATAGAGTGCACTGTATCAGGAGAGTTTCCACCCACTCATTCTGCTGTTGTTTAGTTCTTGCCTCTTATGGATTAAATATGTGACAAGTTAATTTACACACATCTAGTATACTGACAGAAGCTAACTGGGGAGATGTTTCTCTTCTATCAAACTGTTTGGTGCTATTATGCCTATTCAACAATGGCAACATCTGGTCCAAGAGACCTTCAGCCCTAGAGCAAAGCACAGCGAGTATACACGAAATTTTAATGCATGGAGAGTGACGAAGATGCAGCCAACCCTCCACCCACTGTCCCTCCTCCTGCTGACTTCCACTTGGTGGTTGATCTAGAGCTCTCCAAAACCCATGTAAAGATGATGCTGTTCAAATCCTTTCTTCCTCTTCTTTTATTCATGACTTCTTCAGCACCCACAGGGAGGAAAAAGCGATCCAAAATTCACTTAGAAACTATTACAGTCCTCAATCTCTATTCATGACTTCAAAATCCACTGACTCTGACAGGCATCAAGCTAAGAGATTTGCCGATGTTTTCTTTCATCCTCGAAATAGCACTAGAGGGCGGTTTTGTCATCTGCTGTTTGAGAGATGAGGACACTGACACCAATTTGAGCGGCACATGGTCCCACAAGAGGTAGATTCCTCTCTTAACCTTTGGACAGTTTCTCAAGCTGTCAGTTTCTAAATTCTGACATCTAAACTTTTTTTTTTATGGCAGGACAGGTAAGATAAGATCTCATAATGTAACCTAGGCTGGTCTAAAATTCTATGATCCTCGTCTCAAGAACACGGATCTTAAGTGTGTGCTACCACACTTCTAAACACATTTTAGGTAGTCTTTAAAAGAAAATAGGCAGGTAGGGACTGTTATTTTCTTCGGTGTTGCTGACAAGTTGCCGATGCTCTAGTAAATAACCTCTACCCGTGCTCTTGCAGGCAACTCTAAACTTAGCGGCCCCCATGCATGTGTAAAGATATGAAGAATAAAATGTAGAAGACACATTAAAAGAAACAAACAGGCTGGGGAGATGGCTCAGTGGTTAAGAACACTGGCTGCTCTTAGAAGATGGCCAATGCTCCCTAACTCCAGTTCCATGGGATCCTACACGCTCTTCTGACCTCCTTGGGCATTGCACATGGGTGCACTTTACATGCAGGCAATCCACTCATACACATCACACACACACACAACCCAGCTGCTGGGCATGGTGGTCCATGCCTTTAATCACAGTATTCGGGAGGCAGAGGCAGGTAGATTTCTGTGAGTTGGAGGCTAGCCTGGGTACGTAGTTCCAGGTCAGCTAGGGATGCACCACCTCGCCAGGCTTATTTTGCCTCTTTAAACCATTAAAGTTCTACCTTTCTGCCCCAAGACAACCTTCTAATGATGTGAGTTGAGGGCAAGAAAGCCAGACTCTCTCAGGTCTGGGGGAGACCACAACTAGGGTAACCACAAGGCTCCTGTAGTGAGCAGCTCCAGGTCTCACCTCCCTGGGCTTCATATGGAGTTGGCTGGTAGAAAACAGACACATCAAATCCAGACACACAGCTAACAGGAAATAAAGCTGCCAATGCTCCAACTTTTCAATAAAATTAAAATGTGTCCATTTATCTTTAAACGCCCCTTTCGCTCACTTAGAAGTCAGGAAATGGGAACTCTTCAGTTCCTAGTCTGTTACACAAGGAAAGGAACAAATCAAGAGGAAACTTACACAGCATCTGTCTGGCATTGCACCCAAGGATTAAGACAATCCAGGGGCTTCACATCAGCTTCTTTATCGGTATAGGTCAGCAGCTTGTTCCACCTGGGAATATGTGCTATGTTGTGATTAAACAGCTACTTAAATCTGAGAGAAGCAGGACTTTAATGAAGAATGCTACAAGTATCAACAATTAGTTCTCATAGTTAAAAAGATTACAGAAAACACTTTACTGAATTTTTTGTTTTTGTTTTTTGCTAAAAAGAGTCTTTAAGGATGTCTGAGAGACAGCAAGCATGACACGGTACAAAAGAAGGGCATGTTGAATTCCAGTGCAAGACACTAACACAGCACAATTAGGGAATCAGGCGGAAGCGAACACTTCACAAAAATGAAATTAGGCATTATATTCAATCAGGATTTTTTTAAGCTTTAAAAGTCCAGCATAAGGAAGGGATCTTTGGGGGTGGGGGCTAAGCTTATCTACAATCACCATTTTACCAAAAAACACACTGGTTCAACCACAGAAGTATGGAGAATAACCTCTGTCACAGCCCAGCACACAATATTGAATGCCAAGGCAGTCAGGTCTAGGGTTGACATCACAGGTGGCTAAACAGAGTAATCTGGTTCCCCAAGGACTGGTCTCTCATCAGCCTGGGCTCATAACACACATGGTTCCTTTGTATTTGTGTCAGAAGGCCAAAGCTCAACAAGGAGTAAGCTCACTTCAGATAATGCTCACATTGCTGGCTTAACAGGTTACCAGGTTGTAAGTTGCTCCTAATGCACTCCATCATTTCCTAGGAGAAGGTTCTACAGATACTGGGGATTTAAGTTTAAGCAAATCACTAAAGAAGGGAAATGCTAGTGATAGTCTGTCATTATACAAGCTGTGTGCCTGTCATCTCTGCCACAGACACGGGGCGGACTTGGCTTTGAGTCTTAGCTCTGTGATCTCCAACAGTGATGGTGTGGACCTGGGACCTTCCTGCACTGAAGGAGGTTGCCCCAAATTCTAATTCCAGGCCAGCATCTGAAAAAAACAGCAGACCACCAGGGACTAGTGTCCAGATCATGCTCCTGTGAATCTTCTGGGAATGGAAGTCTGTTTCAGTTCATGCCAAGTTTTTTCATGGTCCGCCAGCGATCCTTAATCATCACAGCTGTTCGGTTAACAAAGGGATAATTTTTAGAAATGGCAGCCCAGTTTCCTTCCCCGAATTTCTGCACTCCAGCCTTCACCCACTCGCTTTCTTCTATGGTCCACTTCTGCAAGAGAAAACCAAAAGACTTATCAAAACCTGTTGCCATTTAACCCTTCAACATGTAAACCAAAGATCCTAAGAGAATAAATACTCTGAACGTAAAAGCAGGGTTTGTTTTTAAAGCATGGGAAAACAGCAGATGATCACTGTAGATCTGGGGTTAGTAACTGTAAATGTTCTGCCATTTCCTTCCAATAAATAATCACACCTGTGTTACAAACTTTTGTTTATGGTCCAGAGAATAAGTCAGCCTCTGTCCTAGATTTTCTTCTACAGAGTATCACTTAAACTGGGCCTGGAATACCAGCTATTTGGGAGGCTGAGGCAGGAAGATCAGAAATTCAAGGTTAGTCTGGACAACTTAGTGAGACCCTGTCTCAAAATAAAAAGTAAAAAGAAGACTAGGGATATTACAGCTCAGTGGCAGAATGTCTGCGAACTTTGTGAGGCCCTAGTTATAACCCCAGAACCAAAACAAAGAACAACAACAACAACAAAAACCCGATTATTTGAGTATAGTTTGAATTATCTCAAGACATATTTTTACCAGGCCTGTGGGTAATCTTTGCCTGAGAAGGGGACTTATTTTTTAAACCCAAATCAGGGGCTGGAGAGATGGCTCAGCGGTTAAGAGCACTAACTGCTCTTGCAGAGGAGCCGGGTTCAATTCCCAGCACCAACATGGCAGCTATGAACCTTAACTCCAGTTCCAGGGGAATTACAACCCCCTCTTCTGACCTCTGTGGCACTGCATGACACGGGTGCACTCATATACACACAGGCAATACACTCATACACATAAAAATAATAAATATTAAAAAAAAAAACCAAATCAGCAAAGAACTTAAAATTACCTGCTTTCTTGTTATAATGGTTGAATTGGCTTCACCTGGTGCTGTTAGAAAACATTAAAAGTGTACAGATTTTAGAGTTTACCTTTGCGTTTATAAACCACAAGAAGAAAACATACAATGTCCTCAAAGGGAAAATTTGATTTAGATTTCACAAACATTGAGGACTAGGACTGCAGCTCGGTAGAGTGATGGTCTAGCATGAATGAGGCCGAGTTGCCCCCACGCTGCCAAACCAAACAAATTTTACCAAGTTGAGAAGAAAATGGACATCATTGAGGGGTAATTTCTTAATGTCCTTTTGCAAACAACAGTTATGTCACCTCAGGTTCTGAGAAGCTGTAAAAGAAATGCTTTACAAATAGGCTTCAATAAATCTTGATTAATGATAGATTTCAAGCTCTTTAGCAAAACTATAATTTTTTAGACTTAATTTTAAAATTTTTAATTATCTGTGTCAGTGTATCGGTATGTACACATGAATACAGGTGTTTGAAGAGGCCAGAAGCATCAGCTGGAGTTACAGGCAATTGTGAGCCTCCCAACCTGTGTGCTGAGAACTGAACTCAAGTCCTCTACAAGAACAGTATGCACTTAACTACTGAGCCATCTAACCCCCAAACCACCATTTCCTATAGCTACTTAAAAGTTTAATATAGGGCTGGGGACATAGCTTAGTGGTAGAGTGCTTGCCTAGCATGTACACGGGGCAAAGTGTAATGGCTAGAAACTTAAAATTTAGAGTTGGAGAGATGGCTCAGTGGTTAAGGGCATTTGCTGCCAGCTGGGTGTGGTAGTCCATGCCTTTAATCCCAGCACTCTGGAGGCAGAGGCAGGTGGATCTTTTGAGTTTCAGGCCAACCTGGTCTACCCAGTGAGTTCCAGGCCACCCAGGGCTACATAGTGAGACCCTGTCTCAAACAACCTCTTGCAGAAGACCTGGGACTGGTTCCCAGCACCCAACATGGCAGCTAATAACTGTCCTTAATGCCAGTTCTCTAGGGGATCTGATGCCCTCTTCTGACCTCTGTGGTCATTACAGGCATGCAGTATACTTACATATACATTTAAAAAAAAAGAAAAAAAATACAGGGATGCCAGGCAAGGTGGTGCATGCTTTTAGTCTCAACACTCAGGAAGCAGAGACAGGAGGATCTTTGTGAGTTCAAGGCCAGCCTGGTCTACATATCAAGTTCTAGGTCAGTCAGAGCTACACAGTAAAGACCATGTCTCAAAAGAAAAGAGAAATATGGGAGCTAGTGAAATGGCTCAGTAGGTAAATGTGTCCGCTACCAAGCCTCACGGCTTGAGTTGATCCCGGGGTCCCAAAAGGTGGAAGGAGCAAACCACCTCCTCCAAGTTGTCCTCTGACTGCCACATGCACACTATTATCGAATAAAGAAGTAATTTTTTTTGTTTTTGCTGCCATGTTCAACCCAGAAATAAATTTTTTAATTGTAAAGCTTGTTTTATTATTTATTACTATTATTTTTGCTTATTTATTTTATTTTATTTTATTTTTTTTTGAGACAGGGTCTCCTTGTAGCCCCAGCTGTCCTAGAACTCACTTATGGAGGCCAGGCTGGCCTCGAACTCACAGAGATCTGCCTGCCTCTGCCTCCCAAGTGCTGGGATTAAAGGTGTGTGCCACCACACCCGGCTACTTATTTTTATTTCATGTGTATGAGTGTTATGCCTACAAGTATAAATGCACTCATGTTGTGCAGTGCCTGAAGAAGACAGAAGAGGACGTTGGATCCCCTGGAACTGGAGTTATGATTCACTATGTAGCCCTAGAACTCTGTGTAGACTAAGCTGGCCTCAAACTCAAAGCCACCTGCCTCTGCCTCCTGAATAATGTTTCCTTACTTTAAAAAAAAAAAAAAAAAATGTTTGCCCAGCGTGGTGGCGCATGCCTTTAATCCCAGCACTTGGGAGGCAGAGGCAGGTGGATCTCAGTGAGTTCAAGGCCAGCCTGGTCTACATAGTGAGTTCCAGGACAGCTGGGGTTACAAATCTCACCACTCTGAAGGGAGAAGCAAGAGGATCAGAAGTTCAAGGCCATCTACAGCTGCTATACAGGGAGTTCAAGGTCAAACTTGGCTACATGAGACCCTGTCTCACCACCACTCCATCAAGAAAAAAAAGGAAAAAAGAAACACAGGAAACCAAGTGTGGTCACATGCCTGTAATCCCAACACTTGAGAGGCTCAGGCAGGAAGATACTGAGTTTGAGGTTAGTTATATAGCAAGACTCTATCTCAATGCAACAAAACAAAAACTTATTCCTGTTGAATCTAAATGAGGTCAGGAACTTAGGCAGCTTTGTCCAATTGGGGAACAGAAGCTTCTGGAACGTGAACATGACACACTCGAGGCAGGAAGCCAAGGAGAATCTGCTGCTTACCCTGAACTTCAAATAGTTTGTCCTCTTCAACCCAAGTTTCTTTTTCTTCAGCACTGTTAGAGCTGTTCCACTTGCCTTTGGATACTCTGAGGGAAAATCAGTAAGGACAAGACATGAAACACTCACCCCAGTCACCCTCGGGTCTTGATCATGGCTCACTCTCAGCACTCACTTGCGATGTAGATGAAGGGCCAACCCTGAAACTCTGCACTAAGTACACTGCCACCTCCCTTAAAATTTGTTCATTTCTTGGCTTGTTTAGTTGGTTTTTACTTTATTAATTTTTTTTTTAAGACAAGGCCTTGCTCTGAGCACATGTCAGCCTGGAACTTGCTCCGTAGTCCAGGCTGGCCTCTGCTTTCTGAGCACTGGGATGATAGGCATGTGTCAACATAGTGGTGTGGGTTCTTAAAGATCTCAGCATTCTTCTAACCCAGGTGCAAACTCTTCCCTACTCCTTCATGGCCATTCTATTCCTATCTCTACAGTCTTGATTTCCCTCCCCATTCCTGTACTTAGGCCCAGCATACCTTACATCAATATTTTACTGGCCTTTTCCCCTCCCATAGCCAGTATCACAAAAGCCTATCACAGCTGGGCACAGGCCTATAATCTCAGCATCTGGGAGGCTGAGACAGGAAGATCACTAAATTCAAAACCAGCGCCTGGAATACATAAACTAAATTATCTAAAAAACAAACAACAAAAAAAAATGAGCATACCCTGCCTCTGTGATTCTGGGCAGTTTCCTACCAATGGCTCCACCACACCCACACTACACCAGCAGCAGAATCAGGCTGCTCTGCTCCTTCTGTAAGCTGTTACCTCTGCCTGGGAGTTCCTTCCCTGCCTGGTGACCCTTTTACTCTTTAAAGGCCATAATGGGGGCTAGAGAGATGGCTCAGTGGTTGAGAGCACTGACCACTCTTGCAGAGGACCCGGGTTTGATTCCCAGCACCCACACGGTGGTTACGAACCATCCTTAACTCCAGTTCCAGAGGAATCCAAAGCCCTCTTCTGAACTTCATGGCATTGCACAACAAAGGTGCACTCACATACATGTAGGCAATACACTCACACACATTAAAAAAAAAAAAAGGCCATAATCAATCCATTTTTTTTTAAGACAGGGTCTTATGTTGCTCAATCTGTCCCATGCTATATAGTCCTTCTGATCCTCCTGCCTCCACCCACGAAGTGCTATGATTATAGGCATGTGCCACTACGCCTAGTTTATGTGGTACTAAGGGTCAAACCCACATCTTCACACAGTCTAAGTAAGCACTCTGCCAATTGAGCTATATTCCTGTCTAAAGCCATCATTCTCAATGATGCCTTTACCTACTGACCTTAGCATATAAAACTGCTCTTATCTCCCAACAGTTTGAGGCCAGATAGGGCTACGTAGCAAGAACCCATCTTAAAAGCCAGGCATGGTGGCACAGGCCTTTAATCCCAGCAAATCTCCCTCTTTTAATCTTGGGAGGCAGAGGCAGGTGGATCTCTGGGAGTTTGAGGCCAGCCTGGTCTTTAGAGCAAATCCAGGCCAGCTGTGGTTACAGGGAGACCCTGTCTTAAAAAGACCAAAAACAAAACAAAACAAAACCAGACTCCCTAAGATTCATTTTCTGTAATTTTCCTAAGAATTTACCTAACCAAATGGCTGAAACAAATGGCAGACAACATATGTTGTTCTTGGATTACATCCCCTATGTTACAATTAATCTGTTTAAGACAAAGTGGAAAACCTTAACATGAGGTTTTCTTTCCAGGATACTACTGTGTCAATTACTATTTACAAATAGACAGGTAGGTTACTATTTAAGTTTTTTAGCTTATTGAAGTCCTGGCATGAAACCCATTTGACCCCTGGTTCCCTGTTGGCTTCAACACTTCCCTGAGCCAAGCTGCTGTTCTCTTGTGGCAGTCTTTACAGTAACCTCACCTTTCTTGAACTCAGCACTGCCTTCTGCACAAATACTTCAGTAGGATTGCCAGGGCTTAAGAGCCCGTGCACGGTGTCTTGTTGGCTGCAGCTGTTCACTTCTCATGCTGTAGAAAGGGCTGAGATTAGGGTACTCATAGCTGCTGGTTGGCTGTGAGGCCTGGGCAGGTCAGGCCACTTCTGTATTGTTATGCTCCTCACCTTACAACTTCAAGGCTGTTCTATCGGGGTCGGTCAACTAATCTGTGGCTTCTGGGTTTTGTCCTTGAGGTTTTGGCTGAGAATAGTTTTTGTCTATCTTTAAAGGTTTTTTTAAGGAACAGAAAGCCCACCATATGTAAACTGTTAAACTTCTGCTGGCCTTCCATAGAACTATAGGGGTGTCAACCCTTAAACGCCAAGATCCAAGAACCCTCTCTGTTTGATCAGCAAGTATCTACTATGTGTAAGGTGCTGTGGGGATAGAAAAACCCAGGGACTGTGGCCCTGCCTTTCCCCCCCATATCCCTCTGCTCCTGGCCTCTGCAGGCTTTCCCAGCTGGCCTGCATCTGTCTTCAGCTTCCTTCCCTTTGCTCAGCAGTGCCTTATTAGACCTTCTGATAAATTATCCTAGGACTATGTGAGGCACTCAGAAACGCAGACACTGAGCATTCTCTTGCTCTTCCTAATTCAGTGGTCAGGAGCATGGGAATACATATCTTGAAACAAATCTGTAATTGTAACTCAAAACAGTTTGAGAAACTGCCTGCAGACTACAGTAATTCAAGGTCTGGTCCAGCTGCCCATGCCAGCTGTTCCTTTCTCCTGTTTGCTGTATTCTCCCAGCAGTTATGCCAAGCTTTCCATACCCACTGACCTACTCTGCCTTCAAGGCCAGCTCAACATTTGCTCTTTTATAAGGTTTATTCCAGCTAAAACTTGTATAAGCAGGTTCAGGAATTCTTCCCCAAGCTCCCAGGGCACATCACACACACTTCTCTAGAGCAGGGCTCACTCCACAGAATTGGATGGTACTTTTGGCTTTGCAAGTTTCACCGTCAGTCATCACTCAGCAGAGTGGGAGCACTGTAGCAATCATGGACAATCCCTACCTGATGGGTGTGGTATAGTCCATTATACTCCATTTACAAAAACAGGAAGCTGGTGGATATGGCCCAAGGGCTATACTTTGCCAACCTCTGCTGTCAAGTGTCCATCTACCTCATACCCTAGACACACAGCCATGGGTATATCCGCAACCTTCACACATCCTCAACTCAATCCCACTGGCATCCTGCATATTCCTTTTTTCTTCATCTGCTCATGGGGGTAATAATTATACTCCACAGGATTTCTGTGAGGAATGAATGGGTCATGTGCCAAATGAGGACAAAGTGTAGTGCTATTAGCACTATCTGTCCGATTAATAGCCAGCAACTCACTTCCAAATGCAAATAGTGGCACAGGGTGCAAACTTATGCCTGAGGAAAAACTACTTTATCAGATGTCATAGTCTTCACAGTACATGCTGGAGAAGGGGTCTCCAAACACACAGCGGTTGGAGAGACGGCAATGGCCTTGGGAGGTCAGTGAGTTAGAGGACTTACAGCAGTGATGGCCAGAGAAGAGTTCATGGAAGAGGTAAGAGTTTTAGGAGAGGCAACTTAAGTGTATGTGGCCCCAGGCTTGTGTCAACACTACCTGCTGAAGAAGAACCTGGAAGTCCACGTTTGTAACTTTCAGCTGTGTGACATCAGGTAAACTGTTAACTTTTCTGAGCCTTTCTTATCTATACAATGTAGCTAACATATCACCTCAAAGAGTGAGGCTGGAGAATGGGTAAGATAACACATGAAAGTGTTTGACCCAAGAAAACACTCTTTCCTTCGAAGCATCAATGGGATTCTGACAGGCTATGATGGAGAAATGACAGTGCACTTTGAGAGTGAGAGGAAACAAACGTACAGTAGGAGAAAGGAACATATGTTCAGGAGACAGCAAGCAAACTAGTGTCTGGAGGGTGGATCCACATAGGGCATAAATGGCAGCTGAACTCAAAAGCTATGTTGTGAGTCACGATGGGGAGTGAAATCAAAGTATTCTAACCACTGCCCTACAACAGCTAGCAGAACATGGAAGACTAGTAAATACTTACTGAATTTAACGAGTCTCAAGTGCTCACAAAGGTATACAACTGTAAGTATTCGTTGGTCTTTTATAAAGATCAAAGGATAACGAGGCCCAATTCGGATAAATTTCACAAGTAAGCCTAGTATTTAGTAATCAAGACCCTTGGTTGTTTGCTAAAAATGAAACCATTGACAGGCAGAGGCTGTCACTCCTCCTCCCTCACTCCCACCCCAAGGCAATGCTGAACAGTCTACCCTCGGGCTTCGGAACTGGCAGGGACTGCTACGCTGTCATTCCCGGCTGTCTCATTATAGCAGTGTGAGCAAGCCTCATTCATGGAACACCAGGCCCAACCAGGAACACCAACCAGCCCCAAAATTGCTACAAAGAAAGTCTTCATACTTTGGCTTCTTCTCCCTTCTGTGGGGTTGGTTGAGAGCTGTGGGCTTGGATGGTGATACTGGCATGGCCTCCTGAGAGGAGTTGAGGCCTGGACTGGGCTCAGAACTTTGGCTGTCCTCCTCCAAAACCAATCTGCTTATTGTCATGCGTTTGTTCCTGGGTGGCAGTTCTGAGCCTCCCTCACCCTCAGCAGGAGCTGAGCTTTCGTTTTCATCTTTCCTGGGTCTCTTGTTTTTGTGGGCTGGTGATGATGGGGATGCTAGATTAGGAAGTACCAGATCTTTCTGGTCCAGTTTTGCAAAGGCTGCCTCTGAGTCTTGTGCAGTGGACAGAGCTTTGAAAGCTGCCTTCAGAGTTCTAATTCCAAAGGTGGTTGGAGTACTTTGCAGCTGCCTGCAAATAAAGCACACACAGGAGGATCAGTCTCATTGGTATGGAGACACAAACAGGCACTTTTCTCAAAGTTTAAGGGTTCAAATCAGAGGACTCTTTAAGTTAAAGACTCTTCATTAAAATATAAAAACAGAGCCAGGTGCATGCCTTTAATCCCAATACACAGGAGGCCTGGGAGGCCGAGGCAGGCAAATCTCTGTGGCTCTGAGGTCAGCTTGGTCTATATAGTGAGTTCCAGACCAGCTGGGACTACAGGGAGACCCTGTCTCAAATAGACCAAAAGTAAGTAAATAAATAAATAAACAAACAAACAAACAAAAAAATAAATAAAAATGGGGTTGGAGAGATGGTTCAGCAGTTAAAAGCACTGGCTGCTCTTTGTAGAGGACCATGCACCCACATGGGCAACTAATCAACTGTCTGTTACTTCGATTCCAGGTGAATCTGATGCTCTCTGACCTCCGAGGCAATGTATGGCACATGTGCACTTACATACATGCAGGCAATACACCAAAACACATAAAGTAAAATTAAAGAAAATATTTTAAAATATAAAGATGAGAACTAAGACAGGGGAAAGAGGGATAGGCTGCTTCAAACAACTGTTATTTGTAAAAGCCTCCACTTAACAATGAACACAAATACTGTGTCAAGTTTAGACTTCAATCAAGAGAATCTTACAGGAACTAAGGCCGAGTAATACTCCCTCCTGAAGCATCTAGTCTGGGTGCTAGTTTATACGGCTCAAAGCAAAGCTTTCCATCATTTAACAACTTTGAGTAGTGCCTATCTACAAGTCTACCCAGGCAACAAACTGACAACCCAATAACTTCACCATGAAATCTCCACTCTTCTAGTGGTCCCAAGTCCAACCCTCATGTGAGAAGCAGGTGAGTGGTCTCTACTCACAATACACTTACGGTGTCTAGAGATTCCGTGGAACTAGTGTGTCATGAGGTCTGGGAACAACGAGATTATCTTTTACAAAAAACTTATCCTTTGGAAGCGCTAAGCCATCTCTCCAGCCCTTCCATCAATTGTTATGTCAGTGTAGAATAAAAACTGTCAAGAAAGGGTCAAACTGGCAGCAGTTTGACTCCGCAGGCAAGTATGCCTTATTCTCTAACACATGCAAAGTTGTTTCACTGTAGGCTCAGCTGGTCTGGAACTCACTATGTAGACCAGGCTGGCCCTGAACTCAGAGATCTGCCTACCTCTGCCTCAGTGCTGAGACTAAAGGCATGGGTCACTACACCCGGCTGCAAAGTTGTTTTTTGGTTATTTATTTACTTTTAATATTTATTTATTTTTATTTCATGTGTATGAGTGTATTGCCTGCATGTATGTGAGTACACCCGTGTCGTGCAGTGCCGTGGAGGTCAGACGAGGGCTTCAGATTCCCCTGGAACTGGTGGTAAGGACGGTTCATAGCCGCCATGTGGGTGCTGGGAATCGAGCCTGGGTCCTCTGCAAGAGCAGTCAAGTGTTCTTAACCGTTGAGCCAGCTCTCCAGTCCCTATTTATTTTTAAAATTTTATTTTTATTTTATGTGTATGTATGAGTGTTTTGCCTGCATGCATGTTAAGTGCACCCGTGTCGTGCGTGCAATGCCCATGGAGGTCAGAAGGCAGCATCAGAGCCCCTAGTAAGAGTTGGTGCCCTTAACTGCTGAGCCATCTCTCCAGCCCAGTTGTTTTTTCATTTTTTAAATTTATTATTTTTTTGGTCTTATTATTTTTATTTTTTTAAAAAAATATTTGTTATTTTCATTTGATGTGTATGAGTGTATTGCCTGCATGTAGGTAAGTGCACCCATGTGTGTTGTACAATGCCTGAAGAGGACAGAAAAGGCTGTCAGATCCCCTGGAACTGCAGTTACGGACAGTTGATAGCTGCCATGTGGGTGTTGGGATTTGAACCTGGGTCTTTTACAAGAATAGCCAGTGTTCTTAACCACTGAGCCATCTCTCCAGCTCCTATTCTTTTATTTAAACTTTATTTTTTGGTCTTTTTGAGACAGGGTCTCCCTGTAGCCCCAGTTGGCCTAGAAATTGCTACGTATACCAGGCTGGCCTCGAACTCACAGAGATCTGCTTGCTTCTGCTTCCAGATCTGGGATTAAAGGCATTCACTACAACACCCAGCAATCAATTGGTTTTTGTTTTTAAATATTTATTATTTTATTTTATGTGTGTGAGTGTATTGCTGCAAGTGTTTACTTTATTATTTTGTAATTTTATGTGTATGCATGTATTGCCTGCATATATGTAAGTGTACCTGTGTCATGCAATGCCTGCGGAGGTCAAAAGAGGCTGTTGGATCCCCTGGGACTGGAGTTACAGTTTTTAGCTGCCATGTGGGTGCTGGGTTTCAAACCCAGGTCTTCTGCAAGAACAACCAGTGTTCTAAACTGCTAAGCCATCTCTCCAGCCCCCTATTATTTTATTTTTATAGTGTATTGCCTGCATGTGTGCAAGTCTACCTGTATCGTGCCATGCCCACAGAGGTCAGAAGACGGTGTTGGATCCCCTGGAACTGGAGTTCAGATGGTTGTCAGCCACCATGTGGGTGCTGGGACCTGAATCCAGGTCCTCTGCAAGAGCAGTCGGTGCTCTTAACTGCTAAGCCATCTCTCCAGCCCCTCCATCAATTGTTATGGCAGCAAGAAGGCCATACCATAGATGGACCCTCAAGAACCTAGTACTGTGAGCTAAATAAACCACTTATCTTTATATAGTTACTCAAGTCTCAGGTATTTTTCTATAGTTAATAAAAAACAGACCAATATATAGGCCCTCAGAAGAGTCTAAAGTAGCAGATTAAAAGATTCTGACTATGTCTCACTAGGTAGCCCAGGTTGGCAGTGAAAGCCTTTAATTCCAACCCTCAGGAGGCAGAGGCAGAGGCAGGTAGATCTCTTGAGCTCAAGGCCAGCCTGGTCTGTATATTGAGTTCCAGGCTAGCTGAAGCTACAAGGAGACTCTGTCTCAAAAATAACCCCCTCCCCTCAATAAAAAGGCTTGCTAACATGTCACTGGGCCACCACACTGTGGCAGACAGAATGCAGCCTAGGAAAACGAGAATACTGAAGATGGGCTGTCTGTGGTCCTGATTGGTTCTTCCTCATATATTTTGCTCTAACTCATGTTTGAACACTGCTTCCTGAGTGAATTAAAGATTAGATATCCAGGGGCTGGAGAGACGGCTCAGCGGTTAAGAGCACTGACTGCTCTTGCAGAGGACCCGGGTTCGATTCCCAGCACCCACATGGTGGCTACGAACCATCCTTACCTCCAGTTCCAGGGGAATCCAAAGCCCTCTTCTGACCTCCATGGCATTGCACAACACGAGTGCACACACATACATGCAGGCAATACACTCGCACACATTAAAAAAAAAAGAAAAAGAAATAAACAAATAAAAGAAGATTAGATATCTAGCTGTATGGTGGCTCATGGCTGTAGTCCAGCACACAGGAAACTGAAGCAGGAGTATTATGAGTTCCATGCTAGCCTGGGCTACAAACAAAAAGGGGCAAGCAGCAAAGAGAGATACCAGTTGAGACAAGGGGAGAAGTGGAGATAGAGCCTTTGAGGGAGAGCCAATCAGGATCTTCCCTCAAAGATTGAAGCCAGTCCATTTTTAATATTCTCATTTTCCTAGGTTGTGCATTCTGTCTCTCACAGTGTGGTGTGCCAGCAACACAGTGACATGTCAGCAGGTCAAACCAAGAGAATAAGATCTTGCTCAGTGTTTTCCCACAATCACAAAAGGACATGCTCGCCGGGTGTGGTGGCGCATGCCTGTAGTCCCAGCACTTGGGAGGCAGAGGCAGTTGGATCTCTGTGAGTTCAAGACTAGCCTGGTCTACATAGTGAATTCCAGGACAGCTGAGGCTACAGGGAAATCCTGCTTCATAAAAAAAAAAAAAAAAAAAAAAAAAAAAAAAAAGGACATGCTCACCTTGGAGACTCTCTGAGTGGCTTCTCCACAGGCTCCAGGGCTGGCTGCTTATCTTCCTTCACTGTACTTGAAGCAGCAGATTCAGATTTCAAGGCCTTTTTGGCCATCTGAGAAAGGAAGGATGTCATCAGGAAGAGAAAGCTGCAGAATTTCGCTTAGTCTCTGCTTCTTCAACAACACACCCAACATGTAGGCAAATTCACTTATAAATCCAATCTAACCATTAGCCGGAGGACATAAATGGGCATAGCTACATAGCTAGATGGGCGTCATCTCAAATGTTCTTTGTTAAAACAAAACTAACAACAGTAACACCATTTTAATGCTCAGCTCTAGACTAAAGAAGGCTCAATTTGAGTTGCCTCTCTTAATACTGCAAGAATGCTAACCTTTTATGCACCAAATAAGAACATAACTATATTCCACATCTCTGTCCTTCCAACCTTAGCCTCTAATCCAGTTTCGGTTTCTGGTTCCCAAGTACACTTCTGGAGTCAAGTACAAAAGTCTACGGTTTTTTTTTGGTTGTTTGTTTTATTTCCTTTTTGTAACCCCAGCTGGCCTGGAACTTGCTATGTAGACCAGGCTGGCCTCAAACTCACAGAGCTCCATCTGCCTCTGCCTCCCAAGTACAAAAGTTTAATTTCTTTCTCTAGTCTTTTTTCTGAGATAGGATCTCACTATATAGTTCTGAATGGCCTATAACTCACCATCTAGACTAGGCTGGCCTTGAACTTCCTGTAATCTTCCTGTTTCTGCCTCCAGGTTGCTGGAATTATAGGTGTGTAGCACCATGCCTGGTACAAACATTTTCAAATTTAGGGTAACTAACAAATGCTTATAGTAAAGATTTTTAGTTTGTGTATAGAATTGTTTATAACTATGTTCCCATAAATATATTTGCCTTATTGACAGCTACTTGAAATCCCTTACCTATGTTACATAGGAAGCCCCAGGCAAGTCATTCTTGCCTTAACTCTAACTGTTCAATTGTTTCCCTCCTACTTAAGCATTAGCCATTGAGTTTCAGATACAACATCTATAATATAGTTTAAAGAGCTGAGTTCTGGGGCTGGAGAGATGGCTAGTAGTTGAGAGCACTGACTGATCTTACAGAAGACCCGGGCAAACCTAGGCCAGGCTCTAGCATCTGGATACTTACTGGCTAGAGATCCCCAACTATCTGCTTTATAAGCCATTTCAGATTTGTCAAATGACTGCTACGATCCTACTCCAATCTCTGTTACAACATTACCAAAATCCTGCCCCCACCCCCTCTTTTTTGTGTTGTTGGGGATCAAACCCAGAGCCTTGTGCATAATGGGCAAGTGTTTTAACCTAACTCTTGATCACTCTGTCTTAGTCTCCTGAGTGCTAGTGTGCACCACCATGCAATCTCTTGCATCTGATTAAAGATCATCTTCCTTTGGCCCTCTTATGCTATCAGACGTCTAGTCATGCCTTTCACACATACCTTTTTCTATTAACAATCCCATCATTCCACATCTACCAAACCACACCTTTCAACCTTGGCTCATATTTCACCTCCTATAGGAACCACTGTGGATTATAAATGAATGTTCTACTTTAACTAGGAGATTAATCACATATCAAGAGTTTACAGTGGGAGGTGAGGGAGACCAGGTGTGCTCCATTTGCCTCTGCTAGTATCTCTGGCATCTTTCAGGTGTTTCAGAAAGAGTGTACATAATACAGCCTTTGTCACCCAATTCTTCAAACTTCGAAATTTTTAATCCCCTGTGTCAATCATGGTTATGGGAAGAGGGGAGAGGACAAGGCACACCGTGAGGAGGTAGGGCTCGTTGTCATCCAGGTGGCTCTCCAGGAAGCGCAACATCTTCTGCTGGAAGGTCTCATAGGAAAAGTTCTGGATAACAGGGTGGGCCAGGTTCTTTTCTCGGATAATATTCAGTAGATCGTTTCTCAGCTTCTACAGAAAAGATAAATGTTTGCAACAGAGAAAAGGAAGAGGAGAACACCAGTAAAAACCCAAGATGAGCTGAGGCAGAATGCTATCGGAAGCTTTGCAATGCTGCTAATGAAAACCTGAAGGACTGGTTAATATATTATGGTTCAGCCACAACGGGTTACTATGCAGCTAGTTAGGAAAAAGGGATAAAGAAGCTCCATGATTCGGAATTTAGAATCCCTAGCTACAATATAAAGACATAAACAAAATCAAGTGTTCAAATCCATGTGCAGAATCTGCTGTCACAGACACAGACAAGAATAGGCAAAATGGGCTTATGTGTGTCCCCCCCCACACACACACACGCACAGAGGCTTGCTTACAGATATGTATTTCTGAAAGGTACCTCTGAGGGTAACAAGACTAGTGATAGTCAAGACAAGGGAATTTTCAATCAATTCTGTTATACCTTTAATTTTTTTAAAAAAATTACTTGTTTGTGTGCATGTGTTTTACGAGGGACCAAACCCTGGGCCTTGCACTCACTAGGGAAATGCTCTACCGCTGAGCTATATCCCAAGTCCAAAATTTATTTGTTTTTCGTTTTTGGTTCTTTTTGAGACAGGGTTTCCCTGTAGTCCCAGCTGGCCTGGAACTCTTTAGACTGGCCTTGAACAGAGATACCCAGCCTCTGCCTCCTGAGTGCTGGGATTAAAGGCAAGCACCACCAGGCCCAGCTTATTTGTTTTTTGGGACAAGTTCTCACTATGTAGCCCTTGCTGGCCTGGAACTCAGAGAGATCCCCACCTACCTCTGCCTCCCAAATGCTGGTGTTAAAAGGTGTGTGATATCATGTCTGGCCTGGACCGCATTATGTAGACCAGGATGGTCTTGATCTCACAGAGATCAGACTGCCTCTGCCTCCCAAGTGCTCGGATTAAAGGTATGTGTCACCGTGCCTGGCCTAGATGATAGTCTTGACAAATCTTTCCTTACTGCTTCACCAAAAACAATGAGATGGATTTAAGTCAAGGAATAAAAATACATCAAATTTACCTGAGTTGTGGGGTCCTTGGACATGTATTTTTTCAAAATTTTTGAAGCCTTTTCAAATTCTTTGTTTTTGATACAAATAATGACAGCCTGTAAAGGGAGAACAAACTTACTTTCGTAATGACAGATGTAGTCAGAATATCAAATATCAATACACTCTGCAGAAAGGCAAAGTTAAATCTTATATAACTAACTTTCCACATTCTATCATTCATGTACTTGAAAACCAACAGTACTGTTTAAGCACTGTGAAAATGACTATAAGCTATAGTTCTGGGCAAGTATCTGACAGAACAAAATCTGATCCCCTAGATTACAGACCACTTAATCAATCTGAACTTCCTCCGAAGCAAAGACAAATGGACAAGAGTCCCTCTAGAGTGTCACAATTTCAGGTCCACAGAATAACTGATTCCAATCACTTTGGGTGTAAGCTTTGAAGTGGGGTGGGACTTGGGGAGAGAGGACATAAGTGGGAAAAACAAACATGTGATTTGCTGACAGTGTTCTAGTTCTGTTGAAGAAAGGCCTGGGGTAAGTTCTGTAGAAGAATGAATAAACAAGTTTCTCCTACCATAAATGCCAGCTAGCTGGCAACTCTAGCTGAAGTGTGAAGGAATTATGGAGACTAACAAACTCCACTCATCCATGACAGCAGATAAAGAGGACAAACAACCAGGTAGAACAGAGGCTCTCATCAGCCACAGAGAAAAGGGCTTCTGTAAATAAACAAAGTGTATAGAGGAAAAATACCAGTGACTGAAAAACTTAAAGGAAAAATGAACAAATATCACTATTTTTTTGGGGTGGGGGTCTTTTTGAGACAGGGTATCTCTGTAGCCCCAGCTGTCCTGGAACTCACTAAGTAGACCAGGCTGGCCTTGAAGTCACAGAGATCTGCCTGCCTCTGCCTCCCGAGTGTTGAGATTAAAGGCATGCACCACCATGCCCAGCCAAATATCAACATTTTTTAAAACTTAGAAAAGCCAGCAGAGAATGAAGGGCATTTGGTATTACCGAAAAGGTGAGAAGCTACCTTGGGTCCTGTCTCAAAGAGAAACATGAAGAAACATGTTCAGAAAGACCATACTTTAAAAGGGAAGGAAAATCGGTTTATAGATATTTTCAGTCTTCATGGGGAAGAAAGTATGGAGATTCAGCTCAAGAGGAGGCCTACCACAGGATCCTATTAAGTCTTATTTTTGGTGGTTATGTCCTCAACATACTGGCAGCAGGAAACCGGTGTCAAATGCTTTTGAATGAGCAGGAACAACCATAAACTTGGAAGGCACAAAATTAATCATCCCATTTTAATCAGATGACCATGCCTACTTACACATCACTTTCAGCAGAAATACTAAGTCCATACTTATTTTCTTAAAAACTACAAGGCTAAAGCAGATATGATACACACCTTTAATCCCAACACTTAAAGAGGCAGAGGCAGGCAGATCTCTATGAAATGGAGGCCAGCCTGGTCTATACAATGAGCTCTAGGCCAGCTTGTCTGCAGTGAGATGCTGTCTCAAAACAACAACAAAAAAACAGGGTTGGCTTAGCAGTTAGAAGCACTAGCTGCTCTTGCAGAGGATCCAGGTTCAGTTCCCAGTATCCACATGGCTGCTCACAACCATCTGCAATTGGTTCCAGGAGATCTGACACCCTCTTCTGGCCTCCATGAGCACTACAGCATATGGTGCACTTACATGCACCACACAGGCAAAACATGCATATACATAAATGAAAATTTAAAACAAAATGAAAAACCTTTCATTTTTAAAAAATTTTAAAATATTTATTATTTTTATGTGTATGTGTGTATTGCCTACATTTAGGTAAGTGCACCTGTGTTGTGCAATGCCCAGAGAGGACAGCCTCAGAAGAGGCTGCTGGATTTCCTGGAACTGTAGCTGCCATGTGGTGCTGGGATTTGAACCTGGGTTTTCTGCAAGAACAGTGTTCTTAACTGCTGAGACATCTCTCCAGCTCCAAACGTTTTATTCTTTAAATCAAGTAAGTTCTATTAGGTTTAGCTATATTTAACTTGTATGTAGCAAAATTACTAAGAGCCTACAGTACCCAATGCTAACACATCTAGACTTCTGTGACTACTAGAATCCAAAATCCTCCTTCTCTGTTTTTTGCTATGTTACATGAGAGAAAAATCATATAGTATGTGGCACTATTTTTTGCTGTTTTTCAGACAGGGTCTTACCGTGTAGCGCAGGCTGGCCTGAAACTTGCTATCTTCCTGACTTAGCCTTCCAAGTGCTAGATCACATGCATTCACCAACTGCTATACTGTTGGATATAGCATTAACTGGCGTGTTTCACTCAGTGCAATGACTCTGAGCACCATCCTTGTTGCTGTACTATCAAAAGTGCAGCTTTTCTTACCGTTAGGCAGTACTGCATTGTATGGAATACATTATAATTTGTTTATCCACTTATCTACTGAAGAACATTTGGATAGTTTACAAGTTTTGGTCACTATGAGCACAGATGTTAAAAACATTTACAGGTGCCAGGCATGGTGGCACACACCTTTAGTCCCAGCACTCAGGAGGCAGAGGCAGGCGGATCTCTGTGAGTTTGAGGCCAGCCTGGTCTACATAGCGAGCGCCAGGCCAGCTGGGACTATAGGGAGACCCTGTCTCAAAAAAAGACAGCCCCCCCCACCCCCAAAATTTACAGGTTTTGGTGTGAACAACTCTGAGGTAAATATTCAAGAAAGTGGACTTCCTGGATCATATTGAATGCCTATGTTTAACTTGACAAGAAACAGTCAAAGTGGGAAAAAAAGAACATGTCAAACCTATTATGGTATAGTAAGTATACCACTTAGCATTTCCATCAGCAATGTGTAAGTTTTGGTTATTTGTATTCTCTCTGGCACTTTTTGACAAATTCAAATTGTATCACAGCTGAGTGATCTCTCCAGCCCCTACAGCAAGTTTTGAAATTAATAATTTGCATTTTTCAAAAGCTATTTTACAGAGGCTGGAGAGAAGGCTCAGTGGTTAAGAACAAACTGTTCTTGCAGGAGACCTGGGTTCGATCCCAGCGTAACTAACAACCGTCCATAACTCCAGTTCCAGGGGATCTGACAGCCTCTTCTGTCCTCCGCAGGCACTGTAAGACACGGGTGCACTTAAGTACATGCAGGCATAACACTCATACACATAAAAAAATATTTTTAAAAAGTTGTTTTACAGGAGCTGGAGAGATGGCTCAGTGGTTTAGAGCACTGACTGCTCTTGCAGAGGACCTGGGTTCGATTCCCAGCACCCACATGTCAGCTGCAAACTGTCCTTAACTCCAGTTCCAGGGGAATCTGACAGCCCTCTTCTGTCCTCCGCAGGCACTGTAAGACACGGGTGCACTTAAGTACATGCAGGCATAACACTCATACACATAAAATAAAAATAATAAATATTTAAAAAGTTATTTTACAAAGTTACCCATCTAATTGGTTTATACTCATATTTACTGTTTTCTTGTTTTTAAAAAGACAGGGTCCTTCTGTAGCCCCAGCTGGTCTGGAACTCACTATATAGACCAGACTGGCCTTAATCTCAGACTTAACACCTGCTCTGACTCCTGAGTGCTGGGATTTAAGGCATGTGCCACCATATCCTGCTACTGTGGGTTTTTGTTGGTTTGGTACTGGGGATTGAATCTAGGCCTTACACATGGTAGACAAGTGCTCTACCACTGAGCTCCAGCTGCAGTCCTTTGATTTCTTTTTTTTTGGTTTTGAGAGAGGGTCACTCTGTAGCCCCGGGGGCCTGGAACTCGCTATGTAAATCTGGCTGGCCGCATCTCACATCAACACACCTGCCTCTGCCTCCTGAGTTCTGGGATTAAAGGCATGTGCCATCATGCCCAATTTTATATTTGTATTTTTTTTGTGAGCCTTTTGCCCAGTTGTGAAATGGATTTTAGGGCTCTCTGGGGAGCTCCATCTGCCCTGCCTCCCCAGTGTTAGGATTAAAGGAGTATGCCACCATGCCTGACTTTCTCTGGCATTGCTAGACACAGGTGCACTTACATACATGCTTTGTCTGCACTCATACACATAAAAATAAAAACTTAAAAAAAAAAAAGACTTCAGTGAAGTGTGGGGTACATACATGTAATCCCTACATTTGGGAGTGGTGCCAGGATAATCAGGAGTTCAAGGCCATCTTCAGCTACTTATCAAGTTCAAGGCAGAGCCTGGGGCTACATTAAGACTGTGTGGTGGCAACAAGCCTTTAATCCCAGAACCTGGGAGGCAGATGCAGGCAGATCTCTGTTGAGTTCCAGGTCAGCTAGGAGGCACTGAGACCCTGTCTCAAAAAGGAAAAAAAACAAAAAAACAAACCAAAGAACCTATTGTGGGCTGAAAAGATGGTTCAGTGGTTAAAACACTTGCTGCTCTTGCAGAGGACCCAGGTTCAACTCCTAGCTCCCACACAGTGCTCACAACCACCTGTTAACTCTAGTTCTAGGAAATCCTATGTCCTATGTCATTTTCTGGTTTTCATGGGCACCTGCATGTACATGGTACACAAACTTACATGTAAGCAAGCACTCATATACATCAAAATAAAAATAAATCTTTGGGCCAGGCGTTGTGGTGCACGCCTGTAGTCCCAGCACTTTGGAAGCAGAGGCAGGCGGATCTCTGTGAGTTCAAGGCCAGCCTGGTCTACATAGTGAGTTCCAGGACAGCTGGGGCTTACAGGTAGATCCTGCTTCAAAAAGACCAAAAAATAAATAAATAAAAAATAAATAAATCTTTGGGCTAGATGTAGTGGCACATGTGTTTATGAGAACAGCCTGGTCTACATAGTGAGTTTCAGACCAACCTTGTCTCAAACATATACAATCTTTAAAAAAAAAAAAAAAAAATTTATGGGGCTGGAGAGATGGCTCAGTAGTTAAGAACACTGACTTCTTGCAGAAGACCAGGGTTCAAATCCCAGCACCCACATGGCAGCTAACAACTGTCCATAATTCCAGTCCCAGTGAATCCTACAGTCTCTTCTGTTCTCTGAAGGCATTGCACAACATGGGTGCACTTACCTACATGCAGGCAATATACA